CTGCAGACCAAAAAGCTACTTATTTTCTTATCCCCCCAAGAAAAAGATCACAGTACATAAGCCACCACTGCTTTGTGACACCTACAAGGCCCTATGAAGTTAACAGATTAAGTGGTACAACTTTCAGAGCCAAGATGCATATAGGCAAGGAACATACTCCATGAGCTATATAGGTTTCCACTGCTGTGTAAACAGGTGAACAAGGTAGTTAAAATATTGCTAAGAAATACAAAAGGTGAATCAGGTCATAATACAATAGGGGACCACCTCCCGGAAGCAGTGCAGGGAAGAGGAAATGTGCAGAACAGTGATCAAACCAGAAGAAAAGGTTCTAGATAAACTCCAGTATGTCTTACAAGACAAAAAAAAAAATGACCAAACCACCCACCCACAGAAATAAGAAGTGGGGGACACAGTAGAATAGTTAAATTATCATCTGACAGGTTCTAATGGCAGGCCTCACTTTTTTATTAGTTATTTTTCTGCTCAACTACCCCTAATGACATGAATAAAGAGAAAATATAGTTTGGCAGCATTAGAATTAAGTACAGCAGACAGCTGGTTTATTCCTTTTCAGACTGCAAGGCATGACTTTGGGGCACTAGAGCATGAGAAACTTTTCACTGTAGCACACGTGGTCATTAGCTGACCCCGTTAGTGCAATGCTTTTAAGTTTAGGCACGAGGAAAGCTGTTTACCCAGCAGCAGTCAGAAAGCTGGACAGGGCTAGGATCAGCAACGGCCAGACACATAATGCTCAGCAGGCTTCTGGAAGGGAGGGATCTTCCTTTCTCCAGCAAGGAGAGCAGGATGGGCGGCTTCCAGTTTCAGAAACCAATTAGGCAGAAACTGCTATCAAAGCAATAGAGAGGGCCCTGCCCTAACTGGGTTGAGAAACAGAAGGTGGCATTATCTCACTCATTTTGCCAGTTTCAACAGCCCCGCTCATTCCTTCTCACTGAAGGTGATCAGGGTGCTCTTTTCCAAGGCTCTTCCTACACACCTACCTGGACATCACACAGTATTAAATTAAACTGTCACCTAGAAGCCACATGCTACCTAAAAAGCAGTCACTTATGTCCTGGCTTCTGGAATGGCTACTAACTAATAGAGCAACAAACTCACAGACTTAATTCTTTCATGAACCACTTTTTAAAGAACTATTACATGCTGAAATGCCAGAAGTAGTACCGCATGTGAACAGTAGACATAGGTTTACCAAGCTATTGTACTTTTGTGAGGTTACACAGGACTAAAATCAGTGAATCTACGAAGAAAACAAAAACCGAATTTGGCATCACTGTAACATTCTTCCAGAGAGTCCAAAATGAAGTATTACAAGATTGACCTTCAGATTTTGCAACCAAGAGTATGTGTACAACATCAGAATTAGCTAAAGCAAATAAAATTGCCTTCCTCACCCTCCAATTTAACAAACTCTGCATAACCAATTACAGAGCCATGACACTCACACATGGAGCAAAAAACTCTTTGCGGCAAGCATTAGCCATGACATTATTTACTGCAGACCAACAAGATAATTGGCTACAGTTACAATAAGTACCACTGTCTACAAGGACTTGGTGTTACTTCAAATACTTATTTTCCAGAAGCTTGGGGAAGATGGTTGGGGGATAGAAATCAATTCCACACTCATTAGATGAAAATTCTCAAACTGCAAACTTTGAGACTTCTATTTTTATACAGATATTTTTGGTCATGTGTTGCATGACTACCTTTTATATTTCAGAATTATTTTCATCCCATTTGAGAAACAATGTACATCTGGAAGCAATGCAAGAACAACTAGGTGAAGAACAAAAGACGGCTGTAAGCACATACCTCTTCTCTTATACTATAACGAGCAGGTTGATACTATCAGCAAGTGGAAAACTGGAAGCTCAGCTCCCTCCTGTTGAGGGACAGGCTCAACACATGGAGCACATGCACTTTTTTTTTTGTGTGTGTGCAGGGAAAGCCTACAAACCCAGCAATAGACACCTGCACAAAGAATGACCTACTTGAGAGTTACTTCAATGTAGAAATCCATATGGTGGGGTGGAAAGAATGGTGGAGTGATTTCAAAGCCACCAAAACATGAATAGAGACAAAAAATAGACGTATTTCAGAAGGTACTCTTGATGATGGTATGGCTTGAAAGAAATACAAGAAGGCCACAGGGTTCCTACTCTTGCAGAGATGTTAACCCTTGTAATGTCTATTACAGAGCAATGAGAGCAGCGTGCATGAGAAGTCCTCTTTTCCAACAGCCAGAGGAGAAGCAGCTGTTGGTAATCTCTCGTTCTTTTATTCAAGACTGAGGCTTTCTTACAAACTTCTGAGAACACAGTCTCATAAATTAAGCCTAATAAGTTACACAAGGAAGAGATGAAAAATCCTTGCTTGTTCTTTCTCCCCCATATATCTTGAGGAGAAGAACAATCACCATATGGTTCTAGTACTGCTCCTCCCAGGTAACACAAGGATCAGTGAGCCCTCCTCCACTACTTTACCAACCTCTTCCTCATCTCTTGGATCCATCCTTCCTAGGTAACTGTTGCAGTGCTCACGCAGGAGCAGCGATAGCTGCAGACACTAGAGCAAGAGTGACTTCGTCATTTAATTTCACTGCTACTCCAGGCTTATAAATAAAAGCAAAAATGTTGACATCAAACAGGTCAGGTTTTGCTCCCTAATGACTCAGAAAACACCTGAACCAAGACAGAGATACTAAAGGTGTCTGAGATACTCAGAAGATACCAATCCATTGATTGTCACCCACCTCAGGCCTCTATTGTCCCAGCTTTCACTCAAAAGGGTTCAGAATGTAACTATCACTCTGTAAATATATAGCAAAATGAAAGAACTGAACACACTCTGTTCACCACACAAGTGATTTTTTTTTTTTTATCTCAAGCACTCAACACGGGTAATAGATAACTTGCTATATCATGACATAAGGTGCTACCAAAACTAATGAGAACCAGAAAAATATAGCCCCTTTTGACACCCAGGAATTTTTTTCTCTTACAAAGCAAAAAAAAAAAAAGTTAACTTCCTGGACTGTCTTATGTGGATGGATGAACTGAAAATACAAGCTGCATTTCCCACAGAGTCCTTGTATGTGGTTCTCTTGCTTTGTTCTGACATTTTTTCCAGACAGCAGAAGGACCAGGAGCACATGACTAGAGCGACTGTGGGGGTTATCACAAGTGCGTGTGCTTTATGCTACAGCCTTTGTTTCTCCGTCAGCGTTACACACTTGGGATTGAATCATATTTGCAAACTTGTTAGTCTGCATCAGTTAGCACCCTCTTCACAGGCAAGCATCTGTCTAGTCTACGACCTCAAATAAACGGGAAAGGAGCATCAATGACCTTTCAAGAATCAAGCTGTAGAGCTTGAATAAGACAAATTTTGTTGCTGAGCATGACAGGTCTAGGTCTCGCTTGGTTTAGACAGCCACCTGCAGAAATACTGATCAGCCAGACCTGCTTCCTATTCCACACATGCATAAAGTAAATCAATAAATTAAAATGGAGTCACCCACAGTTTTTCTCCGTGCAAATCAAGAATCCTTAAGAAATGCTAATGCTGGACCTGATCAAACATACGCTATTATGCTGCTAATATGGGTTAACTGCACCCATGTTTTCTGAAGTGCTGCAGGCACGCTGATCATACAGATACCAGGTAAGCTACAGACCCCAAGCCAAATGCTCTCCCCAAGGCTTCAACCGCAGCGGAAGACATTTCGGTGCAGAAAAACATCACAATTTCTGATCTGTCAAAAAGCTCACAATCTTATAGCTCTTTGGTATGAAATGCATAAAACGATGCGATATATACACGCATGCACACACACTGCGATGTCAGGTGTGGCTGTATGCAAGTACCAAATAGATCAATTGAACGGTAATGCATATCAAGCAATCCTGGTCCCATAAAGATGCCACCCTGCATTTCCATAAGAAAAAGGAAAATATCTCTGAAAAGCACGCTATCAATACACATCTGGAAGAACAATTTAGTTGTTAATATGAACACATTCAAATCAGGAGTTAAGAAATTCCCTATTATAGAGCCAATCTTTAGCAACTCAGAACAGAGCCTTTTTCCATTCACACTATACATTCGTTCAGATTTCATATTTCTAATTCACATAAACCAGCTAATCCCACAAAACAGAATATGAAAAATGGGCACATACCACAATTTCCAACACGCCTGTGCAGAATAAAGCACAGGCCTCATTCTTAAAAATATTCTGACCAGAAAACTGAAAAAGGCATGTCGAGCTTGAAATAACTCCTCCATAGGCTCACATGTCAATATAACCATTTTCTTATCCCCTCTATTGAGCATTTTACCAGAGCCTGGAGGATATTTGAGAGACACCTTTTGTAAGCTCCCCACCCCCTCTTTTTTTTTTTTTTTTCCTCTCCTTCTAAGGGGCTGGACTGAAAGGTGCTCACACCCGATCTACGGGTGCATGCAAAAATCTTCCAAGCCCTCTCATTCAGAGCCAGAAGTGCTTAAAAACACATAATGAACATGAATGTCACGGCCATACCTGCGTGCCCGCAATTCGTTTCTTCCTTTCGAGGGGGAAATAAAAAGGAAATGCGGGCTAGGGAGCTCCCAATCCGTTTCACAAAGGGGGGGGGGGGGGGGGGGGGGAAGGCTTTTTAATTAGCCAGAGACCGCTTAGAGCGCTCGCAGCGATCAGAGGCCAACGAAGAGGACAAACCAACCGGCATTTTTTGTCCAACAGGCCCCGAACGAAGCGGCGGCGTGCGCCTATTCAAGGTTAATGAGGGGGGGAAGGGGAGAGAAAGGAAGGGAGCTGGCTCCGCCGGGGCCGGGGCCGCTCGGCCCCCGGCCGGGCTCCCGCCCGCCGCCTCACCGCCCGGGCAGGGGGGGGGGGAGAAGCCCCGGCAGGGCCGGGCTGCCAGGCAGGCAGGCACCCACCCCCCCGCGCAGGCCGGCAGGATACTCACGGCTAACTTTCATGCTGCCGAAGGCCGAGGGCTGCTGCACCGGCTTGCAGCTCTCCGCGAAGGAGGTGGTCCTGGGCCGCCCGGACATGGTCTCCCGCTCCTGCTCTGCCCCGATCACCTCTCTTCTCTTCCTGCCTTCCCCCTCCGCCTCGCCCCGGCGGCTCGGCGGGCCCGCCTGCCGCTCCCTCGCTCGCTCAGCTGGAGGAGACGGGCGGGACGCGCCACATGAAACGCCGGGCCCCCCCCTTCCCCCCCCCGGGGAAGCCCCCTCCCCTCTCGGTCTCTGTCGCGCTCTTCGCCCGGCGGCGGCGGCGGCTGCTGCTGCTTCTTCTTCCTCCTCCTCCTCCTCCTCCTCACGCCGCCCGTTTCTCACAAAACCATCCTTCCCGGCAGCGCCGGTGGGTCCGAGAGCCGCCTCCGCCCGCGCCGCAGCCCCCCCGGCGCCGCTCCCGCTCCCGGCCGCGAGCGAGGGGGGTTTGCTAGGCCTCGCTGCCCCCACCCTGGGCGCCAGTCACATGGGGCGGAGGCTCACGGCCCAGCTCCTCCGATCCCGGCGCTGGCTTTAGCGTTTGTTGGGTTTGGGCTTTTTTTTTTTTTTCTCTCTCCTCTCTTTTTTTTTTTTTTTTTTTTTCTTCTTTTTCTTCCTCCCCTTTCTTCCCCCTCCCCTCTCCTCGCCTCTGAGGGAGGCGGCAGGGAACGGGACTATTTTTTCCCCGGCGGAGGGATCTCGGAGCTCCCGGATCCGCCGACAGGAGGTGATGCGGTCCTTCACAAGGGGATCCGGCCGGGGCGGTGGGATCCGCGGCGGGCGGAGTAGCGGTGAATCGGCCCGGGCGGCCTCCCTCGCTCACTCGCTCGCTGAGGCGTCTCGGTGCGGCGCTGAGGCGGCGGCTCCGGCGCGGCTCCTCATTGCGCCCGCAGGGGCAGCTGGCGGCGGCTCAGGCTGGGGACGCTGCACTGCGGGAGGCGGCCGGCGGTGGCAGCGCAGGCCATGACGGCGGCGGGAGCGGCTCCCCGGCTCTTCCTCAGCCGGCTTCACAGCGCTGGCGGCGGCGGTTGTTGCTGCTGCTGTTGCTGCTTCCCCGGGCGTCCAAGGCACGTGGGACTACGCCCGCCCGGCTGAAGCCTCCTGCCGCTCCCTCCCGGCGCCGGCTGCCTCCCGCCGGGGCCCCCTCCCCGTTTCTGCCGATCAGTCCCTTTGTCCCCGCTGCTGCCTCCGCTGCGTGCCGGGCTCCTGCCGCTGCGCTGTGTGTGTGCGCCAAGGCCGCGCAGCCGCCTATGCCCGTCGCCGCCCTACGCTGCGGAACAGCCCTAAGCGGCTTCTGTGAATACCCAGCCGAGGAGTCCGACGCACTCGTTAGACCCCTAGCCCGAGGCCCTTACGGAAACATCCGAGCCTCCTCGGGACCAATCCCGAGGCCGCTACGGAAATGCCCGTAGCGGGTCGTAGCCAATCGCGAAGCCAGCACGGGCGCAACCGAGTCTCCCCGAAGCCAAAGGGAGACCCAATCGGAAAGCGCCGCCGCCGCCCTAGCAGCGCGGTCGGGGAGCCAATAGGAAGGAGCCCCCTCTTCCGGCTATTGTCGGGCCAACCCGAAGAGAGCCAAAGCGGGAGAGCCAATCAGGCGCCGCCTCTGTCACGCAGCCCTGGGCCGGGCTCAAGCCGCAGCCCGAGGCGGAGAGCGGGCGCGGGTTGCGATTGGTTTTACCCGGCGGAGCGCTCCGATTGGCTGGCGGAGATGAGGCGGCCCGAAGACGCAATCCGGCTCTCCAATCCCGGGGCTGGCTGGGGCATGGCCGCTCACCTTTATGACCTAACCGGGCGCGGAGGGCGGGGCCGGGGTGGGGGAGGAGAGGGGAGCGCGCATGCTCAGTGCGGCGCGAAGGGCGGCCGCGGGGGCGCGGGGCGGTGGCCGTGGGGCGAGGCCGCGTGGGCAGCGCGGAGCCAAAGGGGCGGAGCGAAAGCAACCCTGAAATAACGGGGTTTGTGCCCAAAACTGGCAGGGACTGTGGCCCTGTGAGCCTGCCCCTTGGTCCTTCATGAAGCTGTGAGAGTTGGTGGTGTTGAGCCAACCGTTGGTGCCGCCCATGGTGGGGTTGGTGGGAAAACTGGGTGGCTGTGGGAAGGAAAAGGGAAGCGCTGTGGGGAGCTGACTCGTTAAAAAAACTACAGCGGTGTGCTGAAAGTTGCAGAGGTGGCATGTGAAGCGATGGTGAACCTATTCTGCAGAAACGGGGCTGAGCAGCGGGGGAAAAAGATCAAGACTTTTTGGAAAAAAGTTCTCCCAATTCAGCCATTACAAGCAAGACCTCCTGATAGGAAACGCAGTTTCAACTAGAGCCACTAAACTGGCCCTCATATCGGGGTCTCAGCGCCACCGTGAGTGGATTGAGCTTGGCCCTGGCCAGCGTCCCAGGCACTGTTCTGGAAGAGCTTGTACTTCTTCAGGGCTCTGAAGCATCCCCAGGGGCATTGGTTCTCAGCCCTGGCAAAGCAGGCGCTGGAGTACTGCTCCCTGCTGTGACCTCAGTAAGATTACTCGGCAGACCTCAGCAAAAATTGAGCGCTGCTTGCTTATGCCATTAAAAAAAAAAAAAAAAAGTGTTCTTTCCAGAATAGTTTATGCCACAAACAAAATAACTTGGACTAGGAGAAGCGCTTTTTGCCAATGTTAGAGTCTGAGAGCTGCTGTTTTCAAGGCATCAAAAAATTGCCAGATTTACTTTTTTTTTTTTATTTATTTTTTTCCCAGTCCCAGACTGAACAACATTGCTATGTGAGTAAACAAAAGACCTGGCCAAAGGCAGCTAAAATTTATCCTTTACAAGAGCTGGTTTCCAAAGCAGAAAGCAAACCCAGTCTCTCAAAATGGTCCTGTTCAGCAGTTTGCTTGCCCTGGGGTGCTCAGTTTGCTGGAAACCTTTTCTCCTGCCTGTTAAATGATGAATGGTTTTACCTACTACAAAGGACCTGGGATTGCTTAAGTTCTGATTCTTCATGAGCAGCTCTGAGCAGCTGGAAACCTGACAGTTGAGCATGTGTGTGCCCTAACAAGGACTAAAAGAGACAGTCTGAAATCACAGTATTGGAGTGGTACTGCAGCCACCCCAAACCACCCTACTGTACTCATCGTTCCGGCCCACTCTGAGACACCAGTGTATTGAACGTTGTTGAGACACAGTCTCAATAAGCCGCCAACCATGAAAATGGAATTTCCTCTCCTGTTTTGGTAGAGCTGTTGACGCCAGTCACAACTATTTGCCACAAATTAGGGCTACAGATTGGATTAGTTCTCTGAAGAGCAATCTTACATAAAAAGACAAAGTAAATATGCAGCTAGGCAGCATCCAGCTCTCATCTACCTGAAAGGCACCACCAGACATTCCAGTCATGAGCTTGAAATTTTTTTTTTTTTTGGCCTTGAGCACCAAAATGACAACACAAATCACATTTTCTTATTTTCTGAAGATCTTTCAAAAGACTACAGAAACGGGAGAACCAACTTGAGCGACAGCTGAGCTTTGTTCCTTGAAAAAGTTGGCAGTCTGAAAAATAGCAGATGGGGGGAGGGTGAGCTCTTTGCTTTAGCATTTGTTTGCTACTCATAATAGTAGTAAATAAAAATCAGACCAATGCATAATTTATACCGATGGTGTCCATTTGAAAAATGTCCCTTGAATCTTTATAACAAGTCTACAACCTGATAATAAAAATGGAAAATCAACTTCATTCGCTTACAGAGAAAAAAGCTACCTCAGGAAAACAACTTCATGCTTGTCCTCCTGTATGTGGTATAGCCCTTCCCTAAAATCGCTCAGTTTCCTCTTCAGTACTTCAACAATCTGTATCGAACCCAAACCTCTCAGTTACTGCTAATCTCACTTTTCTGAATACCAAGCCCATTCATCCACTTGGGGAATGCACATTACAAAAATCCCAGCTGCTCTATTTCCTCTTAGGCAATCCTGCCCACATTTCCAAGTAATAATTAACCAACCAACTTTCCAAAGCCTGTCCATTCTGTTGTAGCGTCTTCTCACCTACCAAGAAACCACGCAAGTGTGCTTAAAGGAGGATTATTATGTATTTGAAGGGATAGGAAACAAAAGCACCTCCAGTTTCTGTTAGTCTTTTCATAGATTCTTTCCTTAGATAAGACTACTCAGAAAAACCCGAAACACACGATAAGGGCATCTATGAAGCTTTCACCCTCAGTTTCAAAAATGGACTGACAAAATAATTTGGGAGAGTCACGAGTGAACTGGTTGCTTTTTTAGACTGAAAGATTCTCTTTTGACAACATTGCAAAGTTGATATTTATATTTGGCCCCTTTCCTCATGAAATGACCTCCCTTTGGAATCTACAAATATAAATAGAATTGACGTTTCAATTATCAGTTTTCGCAAGCAAGTATGATCCAGCGTCTCGGGCATTAATATTGTTCCAAATCTGGATGCAATGGGCGGTTTTATAGGTGCTGTGTTTCTGTAACATCCAGGAGGCTGCCTGAAAATATGAAGCATCCAATAGAAATTACTGAAGTGTTATCTCTCTGAAATGCCATAAGGTGGCAGTGAATTGGAAAATTGGTACTATTTCTGGATGGAACAAAGCTGTAAGGAGCTCAGTAGAAGAGAGGCGCTTTTTGTTTGTTTAGGGGTTTTCATTTGTCTGTTTACATTTCATATATCACCATAACCTTCAAATCAAATCATCTTAATCACACGCTGAGTAGGTCTGCTCCAACATGCGCCAGTAGACATGTTCGTGCACAGGGAAGTCCTGCCTTTTCTTTCTCCATTGCTTCCCTTTCGAGTGATCAGCAGGAGTCTGTTTGCTTACCCTGCAGCTTCTACTGGATCATTCCACCAGAAGCCAGGGTGAGAGGGCCGCCTCTGATAGCCTGATAAGGATGCAATCATTCAAGGCTGTTTTGAACTTTGTTATGCTAGTGGATCAAAATTATGTTAATGAATCTACCAGTCTTGCATCTAATTCCTTAATATTGCCAAGGGAATTATCCCCAGAACAATTTAGTGAGATATTGTAATGGTTTCTCTTTTGTTTGATTGGCATGAGGAAACTCAATGGTTGTAGTTGAACTTTAACTTTTTTTTTCCAGTGGAAAATCAGAGATTGTAACAGTAACAAATGTACTGACTGCCCAGGCATTAATGATTAGACAATAAATTCTGAAAAGTGGTTTTGATTTTTGTCCCAGAATAAAATCTGAAGGAATCTATGTTTAGAACGTACCAGTTGCATTTATTTTTCTGAGCAGGACAGAAGTTTTTAATCCTGAGAACCCAGCATTTCACAATGATTTCCTGTCACAAAATATGTCATCACCAACAATTGCTTCAGAGAACAGCTGATGTTTTGCTGATCTGGATGTGCGTGGGCGCACCTAGGCCTCACAAAACTCCAGGTAGTTTTGCCAAAACCAGTGGAGCCAAGTGGTCCGAACAGTTTAATGAAACAGGAGCTACGGACAACTTCCATTTCCCAATTTTGCAGAGCAATCAAACAAGCAGACACACTGAAAACAGGTTCATGGCAACATTGCGACACACGGAAAACATCAGTGACTCACGAAGCAGACACATGCGTCCTTCTCTGGAAGTCCTCCCCGCTGAAGTTCTGCACAGGCTTAAGGTTGGTCCACCGGCTCTCGAAAGAGATAGGTTTCCCACAGTGCCAGGAGAACATCTTGTTCCGTTGGACAGTTTCCCTTGCTCCAGCATTTGTCTGACCGCACCTCCTTCATAAATAACCCTGGAAAACCAGTGTCCAGAGCCAGAGATGCTCTGTCAGTCTAATAAGCCTTTGATGAGTCTTCCAGACATTTGTTTTCTCGAAAGCAAAAATCATGCCCATTTCCTTAGTAGTTTGAAAGGGTTCAAATCTAGAAAATTATTGGGCTCTTCAGTGTGTATCGTCCCCCTCACGTTAAGTTCTGTCAAGCAGCCCAAGACTGACATCCATTTGCTTTCTATTTGTATTTTCCTGTGCTGTCAGCAGGTCTGTCTCTTTCTGTAAAGGGTATAGCAACCAGCAGATGGGTCGTTCTTACAGTAGGAAATTAAAATGACCCTGCTCCCCAGAGTTTAGTGGGGCTCTCTCTGTACTACAGTATTGGTGAAAGGGCCCATGAATGCCTCATGCTCACTATTTCCCTGCCTCCCCAGTCAACTTCCAAACTGGTTGTTGAGGGGGCTTTCAAAATAAAGAGAGTTAAAGCCAGTCTGATCCCTGAGGTCTTCAGTCCATTCAAGAAAATCTTGTAGGGCTAGGAAGACTTAACTTGAGACAGGGGATTAGGACTACTCTTTAGCTATGTCTTGGTAGACATATGGGAGAGGCATGGGCAGGGGAGAAGACCGAGGCTGGGTTTCCAAGCCATCA